AGTTGACTGAAGGGATGGATCCAAGTATTATTTTAGAGAAATAAAGTTCTGAATGAGAACGTTGGCAAACAAAGTTCAGTTGCTCTTCGTAAATCATTGCGCCTTTTCTTATTTAGGAACATCAGGACCAGCTCATCATCACTTTATGTCAACTTCAATTTTTTCAGTGTGTTTTTGGTTTTTGTTTGTTTGTTTTTTTTAAACTTTTTTTTTTTTTTTTTACAAAATCATAACACATGTGAGGTGTATGTTTGCTACACGATAACATCCAAAAATGTGTTTTTCGGGACACATTTAATGTATGAAGGTCTGCAGAACAGTGCAGGTATTCTAGGCAAAACAGTGTCATGTGTCCTCCACTCATGAGGCCTACGCTCTTGCCTAATCCAGATGGAGTGTTTCCACTAGTGGGACGCCATTTGATGGGGACTGTCTTCTTTTGTCTGCTTTATGTGAGAAAGAGAAACAGTGGACAATGCCCCAATCAGATCCTCTCAGCATTGCATGGAGTGCTACTGTGAAGAATATGGATGGACATGAAGATCTCTGGACACCTGGAATACCTCCTCCCACCTGATTCTTTTAAGATTAAGCGGTTATGTTGAACACTGTAATTCAAACAAGGTGGGAAAGTACAAGCAGTGTGGGAGTTTAGTAGATCCAAGAACAAAGCTGTTCACTGTGATAATTTTCCTTTGGAGTCAGAACTGTATTCACACCATATTCTTCCACGGTGCTCTGACCCAGTTTAACCGCTCTACACTGTTCTGAAGCTTACAAACTCTGGGTGTTTGGCAGTACGTTTGGTTAGACCAGTGTGGAAATAGTTTCTGTCACCACTCAATGGGCCAGAGCTTTATATAGACTTTGTTAGTGTTCACAGTCTAAACTCATTACCCTGCATTAGACAGAGAATTCTGACTGCCCAGAGAAAGACAGGGCAGAAGAGTAAGGGGAGAAAAAAAGTGTGTGTGTGTGTTGTGTGTGAGAGAGAGAGGGAGCTGGAGAGGGACTGTTGTCTGTTTAAACAGTCACAAATTAACTGGGACCAACGCTGTGAGAAGCACTGTGGGGCATTTATTCTGATGCTCGGCTCCATTCGAGATGAGTGAGTTTATTAGTGTAGACTGCAGGGAGATTTGTCGGTTTGTGTGAGTGTAAAATCACCATGATTTGGAAAAAAAACCCAACAGAATTTTGGGGAAATGTCCTTAAATTTGTTGATTAAATACACTTCATAACATGAAATCCTATTAGTGCTCAGAGTGACATTTCCAGTAGACACATTTGTCAGTGACTTTATTGGAAGTATTTCCAAATAGTTGGATTTGGTGGAAAGAGTGTCATTTTTTTAGGCATCTTCAAAGGGACTTGAGCACCAAGTGCAATTCTGCTAGAAGGCACAATCCAGCTAATGAAAAAGCACGTGAAGATTAGATTTTATAAAAATCATCAGATACAGGGAGGTCAGGATGATCAGGGGGAGCTACGTTAGCACACAGCATTGACTTGAAAGTAACTGCAAGATGTGTGAAGTAGCTGTGATAATTTGCATGAAAACAATTGGCTCTTAATGCTCAGTTGGTATCCTGACAGCTGATATATGAAGCTCTTGAGTCTGAAGCATAGATGCGTCGGCTGATGCCAGATATAAGCTATTTGCAGCATACTCTGGGTGAAATAAATGTGCACTGAAACCAGAAAAAGCACGAGCTTGCATGTCTTTCTAGGTTTGTGCGTTTGGGGCAGCAGGCCATATGATTGTCAGCAGGTAGCATGAGAAATACTGGTCAACCCCCTTCCAGGTTCCTCTTGGCCTGTTGTTGCTAAGCCCCTCCTCCTGCTGGAGGACCCACCACACTCCTCCTCCCCTCCTACCCACTCTAGATCTGTGGCCATGGTTTAGAACTCTTCCCTGATCTCTCATCCATCTCTTCCTCTCCTCTACTTCTTTCTCTGATGTTCTGGATGTCTGCAGCACCAGTGAGGTTTGTCATCTTTCACTTGTCGATTACATCTAATAGGCTAGAGTTACAGAGGAAGAATTTGAGTTTTGCATTGAATCTTTGATTGTTGCTGCCTAAAATGTATTTCTTTTCAATAGCGCAGAAAGCAAAGGGTTTTCCTACTGTTTAATAAGCCAATTTCTTGCTCCTTTAATGTGAAATTGATGTAGATTACCCTTCCTCTTCTTACCAATTGGTCATTGAACTAAAAGCTGCTAGTAAGTATACTACACATGAAGTTATTTGTGCTTATTGTAAGACGTTGCTCCTCGAGGTTCAGATAGTTACAGAAACACCTGCAGCTTCTTTTCAGAGGCCAGATCTGGTCTGTGTCAAAGGCTCTGATGCCAAAATAGAATAATGTTACTGGATGGCTGTACAATAAGTAAACACAAGTGCCTTAATATAAGGTGACAGTGTCTGGGTGTTCGCCGAGTGACACATAGCAGAGAGACAGAAAGAGTGTGGGACACCTATGGTTGTGTGTTTCTGTATGTGTGTGTTTCTGTTGCCCATGTGTCTCTTGGATTGTGTGTTGTATATGTGGCTGGTGCCTCTGCTGAATGAATAGCCTGCTGATGAGCTGTAGCATCACTGTTTGAGTGTATTCATGTGGAGAAACTTTAAAAAGTTTCAGTCACCACACAAAAGCCAGCTGTCGCTCTCACTTTTTTGAGCACAATGACTGAGGAGCAAGAGAGAGCAGGCTTCTCAAATGTGAACACGATGAGCAGCCAAACACCTTCAGCCTCAAACTCTGTGCCAGATTTTTACATATTAAATGTCTCTGAAGGTGTCAGTGCATTGAATAAATCTAACCAGTCAGGGAGAACTGACACCGCAGGTTTGGTTCAGCACAAAGATGGTTTTACTCTGGCTACATGTGAGGGTAACTTGTGCATAAGTGTGACATTTTCAGGTCAGCAATATGGTTGTTGACCGATTGAGAGCTTAATGTCTTGTTATCAGGGCAACCGCAAGGAGCAAGCAGGGTTTGTGATGTCTAAACATTGTTAGCTGATGTACACTTTTATACATTTTGTGCATGAAATCTATCTTACATCCATGCGGACTGTGCATTGTCATAGGCTCAGTGATTTCACTGTTTATAGATGCTTAGCAGAACACAGCTAGATCAGGTGGCTCAAGTGCTTGCTCCTAGGGGCCTGCCTGGGGCTCATCTGATTGTTGGGGCTTCTCTGGATTATTGTAGGGTCTTTACTAGGTCAGGGCAATATGGCCAAAAATATTTATCACGATATATATTTGAAAATTTCCAATAACAATGTAACTGACAATATAATTGACGCGAGACAAAACACTTTACAACTCCACAACTTTATTAGTGCAAAAAACCCCATCAATGTATTTTCACTTAAACAAGCAGCTGTTTTTTATGTGCATTAAAGTTATATAAAAATTTTACAGTGCAAATGCAAATTATACATACACAATGTAGCACAGTACGTATCACGCCGTGAGACTCCTGACTACGGTAGCCGTAATGCTCCGACAATCCATCAAGCGGTGTGGCTTTCGTACTTTAGCAAAGTCGTACTAAAAGATTTTTTGACAGATTTTTGAGTGCCGTGTACCACATAAAATCAGTTCGGTAATAATGGTAATAAAAACGGCCCGCTTGCTTGCTCTACCAAAAAATGTGCTTTGGTGTGTATCTGATGGACGAAAGCCAAACCAGTTCCACGCCACTGAAGTTGCAGCATTTTGACAAACCAATTCTAGTTAATCTGTTTCATACAACGATCCGCTTTCGCCCTTCTCATTCTCTGTCGCCGCCATGCTTTTTCCGCCATGTGTTTATGAAAACAAAGGTACTGCGCATGCATTTTAAATCATGCTTTTTATTTGTTTTTGTTTTTTAATGTCTCTGTAAAGCACTTTGAATCACCTTGCTGTGGAATTTTGCTATATACTGTAAATAAACTTGCCTTGCCTTACAATATAACGCACCTTGAGGCAGGTAAATTGAATTCTAATATATACACACACAGACATGAGTGTGGCACTCCATGAAATAAAAACTGAATTTGAAAATTACCATTTCAGCTCATTCCCGAAATTATTTGATGTAATCAAGATGCTGACACAGAAACAGACTTGTAGAGACCGAGGCAGATTTTTTTGGCAGACAGGAAGTAGGAGGGTGGTCTGTGATCCTTGTCCCTTTGGGCTGTGCTCTTCTGTCATTTTCTGCTTTTTATTTTAACCACCAATGCTTGCAGTAATTAAGCAGTTAAGCCATGAGTACTCAAATTCTTTCAACATGTTTCCTCAAGTAGTCAGCTCAGCCAGAACAGTAAAGGAACGGCAATGAGAAGATTTAATTCCTGGACTTGGCCGGAGGCTACACAGGGGTCATAGGGTCAGTGGCCCACGTTAAAACAATTATGTGATTATTTTTGAGGTGAAACTGCTTCCTCAAGTGCAAAAACTCCACTGCTACATGAGAACAACATAATTTGCACGTCTGCCTGTTAATTTATCATGATTGGTTCAGATTTGGACCAATTGAAAGTGATGCATACAGAACACAAAAGTCATCAGCGTTCGCTTACACATGAAGCTGACATTTGCAGACATTTCTAGACTAATGGAAAGCTGTGTAGGTGTGACAGAGGATGAGGTCTTTACACCCTCTTGTGGTCACTTCATTAAGTATACAAGTGGCAGTTTTGATTTTTATTCATAGAGGAAACTCTTTATTCTTTCACTAGTATTTATTTTGCGTGTGACTGATTTAGGTTTTTAATTTCTTTTTTTGTGACTCAAACTTTATTAAATTTTAATATACACAAAAAAAAAAAAAAACAAAAAAAAAAAAAAAGGTTTTTAATTTCAACAGCCTTTCCAGGAATTGGGTCCCAAGCTTCTTTTAAGTTGAGATTGTGTTGCAACAGTGTCTAAGTTCATCACGCTAGTGTCACGTCTGACCCAACCCGTTGAAGATTCACCCCAGACAACCTAACTGGAGCGTGTAAGCCCCGGTCACTGGGTCCAATCTTGTCAGTGATCAGCTGACCCGTTGTCCAGAGCCTTTCCTTTCCTTTTTTTTTTTTTTCCCAACAAAAATCCGAGCTGACCCCATTCTTGGACAGTACCGACCCTCCTGCTGGCCGATATCAAAGCCCCACTCATCTCAAACCTGCAGTGTCAATCCCCTTCATTCTCTTTGCAGTCCCCGTAATCATAGCAGGTCCCCCTCTCATTCAGCCGCTACCAATTGGAAGCCAGCTATTAGCAACCTGACCCACTTTGCTGATTGCTAACTACTAGCACATCTAATTGGGCCCTAATCACTTCCTAATGGCTGCATTGTTTCAGGCTGCTCTCACTAAATGCTAAATAGGGGTAGAAAGAAGAAGCAGTGAGTGGCCGCCTATTTGCATTTAGGGCATGAAAGGTGCTATAAAATGAAATCATCACACAGGACTAGTGTTTAATAAATTCTGACATAATGAGACCATAAGAATAACTTATGTAGTAAGTGAGTTAACATAGCTGTGTGAATTGATCAGAATACCAAGTTATCTGTATTGATTTTCATGTGTAATTGTTCCTCTGAATAGAAAAAAAATGTACTGGCATGCATTTGGAGTTTGAAATGTGTTTTCTCTTGTCTCGTCTAATGAAAAACACTTGTAATAAAAAGTAAACTCAGGAGGTTTTAGGGGTTTGTAGATGAAGAAGGACAACAGAGCAGCTGCACTATCTTTGAATTAATGTGTCACTTTTTGTGTTTGTGTCTAAGAAGTAAGCGGAGTGTGTTACAGCTAAAGTGCGATGATTCATTGCACCCAGTGCTCCCTGCACTGGCCCTCTCTCTCCCTCTCTCGCTGGCCGTTGGTGTTTGAATATTCAAATGTTGCTGGTCTGAGCTCCATGCTGTTAGTAGCCCTGCTGTGCGTACACACTGAGATCTTGAGCAGCACTCAGAATACTTGGGGGTTTTTTTTGTTTATTTTTATATGGGCAGTGACTACCTTTTCAGCTCTTGCGTTGCTTCTCCAGCTCTTGGTAAGTTTGCTTGTTGAGAGTCACGTGCTGCAGATTTTCTCAGACAACTCCTTAATGAATGATGAATCTGTAGCAGGAACATGTTTGTAAAAAAAGTACTTTCTGTTCTGTTCATTTCTAATTCAAACCATATTTTTTCGTCTTGTTTCTCAGTTTAATATACAGGGGAGTGGTGTAACTAGACAGTGTTTTCTTTGTTAAGCAGAGGGACCGTGACCAAAATAAGTCCATATAAGTCCATGCCTTATAAGTGCAGCAGCACTGCTTCTTGACTAGGCCTTCTTGGCGAGACTTAAAAGCACTTGAGTATGGCCCTCATTGTTTTTATAAACAGTTTGTGATGGGCTCCTCTCGTTGTTAGTGCTAAGGGGTTTTTAACAGTTTTGGTGGTTAGTCCAGAGAAAAGTAATGGCATGTTTGGTTATATCAACACAGGCCACCTTCAGGGCTTATAAGGTAACTCTGTGTGGGGTCAAAGAAGCTTCTGTTTTTCCTTGTGTCCTTCAGATTCTTCGTCTGCCTGAATTTAGTATCTAAGCTTTAACTCCCTTCTTTATTGTTTAATAAATTGTCTCTTTTCTGGTACAGATTCCTCAGAGGGCCTGACCTCACAACCTTTGGTGATGACTGAGCTTGCTCCATCATCTGCAGTGTCTGTCAGCTCCTCCACCAGCATCCCTGCCACTACCTCTACCCTGATTCCTCCCTTGTCCTCATCCTCCTCTTCCACAGCTATTCCCCAGCCCAACAGCAAGCCCTGGAGGGGCAAGTCAGCAAGCTCCAAGCACACCTCTTCTAATTCCTCCGCCTCGACGAGCCCCCCCTCATCTGCCATGCAGTCTGTCAAGCAGGAGAAGGACACTTCCTGTAAGACTGCTCTGACAAATGAAGCTCCTCCTAAGGTAGTAACTCAAAAGTCAATGCTGGAGAAGCTTAAACTCTTCAACAGTAAAGGAGGCTCCAAGTCGTCCTCCATCTCTTCCTCCAATGGGGTAGGGCCCCAGACTGATAATGCTGCACCAACCAGGCAGCTTGGAGCGGGGCAGGTGGAGAGAGCTGAGACAGGCTCCAACACCGACCCCTTAGAGGAGAATGATGGCAATGTTCGGCCGGGACTCAACGGAACCAGCAATGGGAATTCTTGTGGAGCGACTCCCTCTTTGGGAACTACGGTTTCTACCACCGCAAGCAGCCCCAAAATAGCTCTGAGGGGCATTGCCCAGCGAACTTTCAGCAGAGCTTTGACTACCAAGAAAGGCTCAGTCAAAGGACCTGAAAAAGATAAGGAGAAGGGGAAGGAGAAAGGGAAGGAGGTAGCGAAGCGCACCTCCGTCCCTGATAAAACAGAGCTGAGGGGAGATGAGCACAAGGAAGAAGTAGTACCTGTTGCTCTGGATGCTGACACAAATAAAAGAACCTCTAAAATTGCCAGTTTCATTCCCAAGGGAGGTAAATTGGCCAAAAAAGAGAGTTCCACCCCTGCACAAAGCGGAATACCAAAGCCAGGAGGCAAACCCACAGGAGCTGGTGGTAAAGCTTCTTCAGTGAAGGAAGCAGGGGAGAGGCCTCGGAGCATGCGGTTAGGAGGGGGTCTCGCCATGCACCGTGGCCCCCTGGACAGAGACAGGGACAGCAGGCACTCCAGCTCTACCTCCAGCCTGGCCTCCACAGAAGGAAAGACCAGCACCGCCCCTGTGGCAGGTGGTGGCACTACGCAGAGCACAGCCAGCAACACGGTCAGTGTGCAGCTACCTCAGACGCAACAGCACCATAGCCACCCCAACACAGCCACTGTTGCACCTTTCATGTACAGGTAAGATTGCACTTTCTTGGAGTATCTTGTCTAAAGTATGTGGTAGTGAATCTCAGTTTCACCTGCCTATATTACCTACATGCAATAATGAAAGCAAGTAATGATAATTTATAGTCAAACACTATATATAAAAAAATCTCTCTCTCTCTCTCTCTCTCTCTCTCTCTCTCTCTCATATATATAT